GAAGTGATGGTCTATCTACATATTACTCTTTTATTAGATAGAATAGAGGCCTGAAGCATGGCTGGGAACAGCTGGTTTGCCCTGATCAGGGTGGGGGTTTCCTTTGGGTTGTGGGGCAGCCTAGGCGAGGGGCCTGTGGTGGTTTGCAGGTCAGCCATGCCTCCCCCCCCCCCCCCCCCCGCAACCTAAGCGGAGGCCCTGGTATCTGGAATTTATTAACCTTCTACAATTGAAACTTTGTTGCCTGGAGCAGAGACAAACCTCCTGCTTGCTCTGTGGCTGCTGCCATTTCTGTTTGGATTTGATTATCTTCTATAATTTAACTTTGAATCCTTGAATGGAGGCCTAGGCGGGCAAGGGTAGGTGAAAAGCTTGGCTTCCTCCATTGCTGTGGGCAAACCTACCATGTTATCTCCAGCTCTGTGGCTGCCACCATTTTTCTTGGGATTTAGCTTCTATAATTGAAACTTTGTATTCTTGAGTGGAGGCCTAGGCCTGCCAGGGTGTGTAGAAAGCTTGGCTTCCTCTATTGACGGGGAAACCCAAGCCTCTCAACTACTCTCTGTGGCTATAGCCATCTTGGGGTTAATTTGCATACTCGTTCTTATTGGCTAGTGGGGGCGGCTACTGGGTGTGGCTTGTGGGTGTAGCGGAGTGATGGTTAATTTGCATATTATTTTTTTATTAGGTAGGATTCTTTCATCTGTTTACATCTTCCTCTATCTCTTTTTTCAGTGTCCTATAGTTTTCCACATATAGTTTGTTTTATTTTTTTACCTTCTTGGTTAAGTTTATTTTTAGGTATCTTAATATTTTTTGTTGTGATGGTAAATCGGATTGCTTTATCAGTCTCTCTTTCTGTAAGTTCACTATTGGTGTATAGAAATGCCATAGGTTTCTTGGTGTTAATTTTGTATACTGCTACACTGCCAAATTCATTTATTAAGTCTGTTAGTTTTTTTATGGAGTCTTTTGGGTTTTTTATGTACAATAGCATGTCATCTGCAAATAAGAACATGTTTACTTCTTTTCAAATTTGGATGCCTTTTACTTCTTCTTCTTGTTTAATTTCAATGGCTAATACTTCCAGTACTATGTCAAACATGAGTTGTGGGAGTGGGCATCCCTGTCTTGTTCTTGTTCTTAGGGGGGTATGAGTTTAGTTTTTGCCCATTGAGTATGCCCATCATATATAGCTATTATTATGCTGAGTTATGATCCTTCTATTCCCACCTTGTTGAGAGTTTTTATCAAGAAATGGTGTTGGATTTTGTCAAATGCTTTTTCTGTATCAATTAATATGACTATATGATTTTTATCTCTCAGTTTGTTTATGTGATGTATCATGTTTATTGATTTGCAGATATTGTACTATCTTTGCATTCCTGGGATAAATCCTACTTTGTCATGGTGTATGATCTTTCTGATGTACTTCTGGATTCGATTTGGTAGAATTTTGTTCAGGATTTTGGCATCTATGTTCATGAGGGATGTTGGCCTGTTTATTCTCTTTCATTCTGTTGTCTTTATCTGGTTTTTGTATTAGGGTGATGCTAGTTTCATATAAGAAGCTTGGAAGTGTTCCTTTCTCTTAATTTTTTTTGGAATAGTCTGAGGAGGATAGGTTTTAGTTCTTCCTTGAATGTTTGGTATAACTCCCCTGTGAAGCCACCTGGCTTTTGTTTGCTGGAAGCTTTTTGATGACTGCTGCAAGTTTTTTTTCTAGTTATTGGTACATTGAGCTATTTAGATTCTTCCTGATTGAGTTTTGGAGGGTTATATTTTTCTAGGAATATGTCTATTTTCTTTAGGTTGTCCAGTTTGTTGGAATAAAGTTGTTCAAGTATTTTGTATCAATTCTTTGTATACTGTGGAGTCTGTTGTTATTTCACCTCTTCCATTTCTGATTTTGTTTATTTGTGTCCTCTCTCTTTGCTTCTTGGTGAGCCTGGCTAGAGGTTCATAAATCTTGTTTATCCTTTCAAAGAACCAGCTCTTGCTTTTGTTGATCTTTTGTATTGTTTATTTGTCCTCTGTGTCATTTATCTCTGCTCTAATATTTATTATTTTATTCCTTCTGCTTACCCTGGACTGTTCTCATTGCTCTTTTCTAACTCGTTGAGTTGTAGGGTTAGGTAACTGATCACCATTGTTTCTTGTGTTTTTGCAATAGGCTTGTAGAGCTATGAACTTCCCTTTCAAGACTGCTTTTGCTGTTTCCCATAGATTTTGCATTGTTGTGTTTTCATTGCCATGGTGTTTTTTTTTAATTTCTTTCTTGATCTCTCTGGTAACGCATTTATTGTTTAATAGCATGCTGTTTAGTCTCCGTGTGTTTGATTTCTTTGGATTGTTTTTTATTGTAGTTGATTTCCAGTTTTATGCCATTGTGATCAGAGAAGATACTCAGTATGATTTCTACATTTTTGAATTTGAAGAAACTTTGCCTATGTCCCAGCATATAATCTATCTTTGAAAATGACCCATGTTCGCTTGAGAAGAATATATATTCTGTGGTTTTGTGGTGAAATGCTCTGAAGATGTCAATTAATTCCATCTGACCTACTGAGTCATTAGGATTGATATTTTTTTGCTGATTTGTTGTCTAGAGTTGTCCAATGGTGATAGTGGGCTATTAAAGTCTCCTACTGTGAGTATATTGCTGTCAATCTCTCGCTTTTTTTTTTTTTTTTCATTTCCATTCGCCTGGAAGACCTTTTTCTATCCCTTCACCCCCAGCCTATGTCCTTTTATTTTTTCTTTTCTTTTTTTTCTTTTTCCTGAGATGGATTTCTTGTAGACAGCAGATATATGGGTCTTGTTTTCTTATCAAATCAATTATACTGTGTCTTTTGATTGGGGTATTTAATCAATTTACATTTAAAGTTATTATTGATAGGTACTTATTTGTCACCATTCTTATTCTTTACCCCTGTGTTCCTTCTTCGCTTCCTATACTCTTTTTTACAGCAGACCCTTTACTATTTCTTGCGTTGCTTGTTTAGTGGTGATAAATTCCCTTAGTCCTTTTTTTGTCTGTGTAGCTCCTGATTTCACCTTCAATTTTGATTGATAGCCTTGCTAGGTAAAGTATTCTTGTATTCAGACCCTTCTTTTGCTTGATTTTGTATATTTAATTCCATTCCATTCTGGCCTGATGAATTTTCATTGAGAAATCAGTTGCTAGTCTGATTGGTGTTTCTTTGTATGTAACTTTCTGTCTCTCTCTGGCCACTTTTAAGATTCTTACTTTGTCCTTGGTGTTTGCCAATTTAATTATAATGTGCTGTGGCATCAGTCTTTTGGGGTTCATTTTGCTTGGGATTCTGTGAGCTTTTTGGATTTGTGTGGGTTTTTTCTTCCCTATATCAGGGAAGTTTTCTGTCATTATTTCTTCAAACAGATTTTCTGTTCCTTGCTCAGTTTCCTCTCCTTCTGGCACACCTATTATGTGGATGTTGTTTTGTTTCGTGTTGTCCCAAAATTCCCTTAGGCTCTCCTCCTGCCTTTTAATTTTTTTTCTTTCTAGAAACTGCTCTACTTAGGTATTTTTCCCCTCCTTATCTTCTAGCTCACTGATGTGGTGCTCTGCTTCTTCTAGTCTACTCTTTTTGATTTCTATTGAGTTCTGTATAGCAGCGATTTCACTTTTCATTTCTTCTTGGTTCTTCATTTCCTCTTGGTTCTTACTCAGATTGCCAAATTTGTCTTCCACTCTTTTCAGCCACCTATGACAATTTCTCTGAATTCTTTCTCTGATATTTTGCTAGCCTCTATTTTGTTTCTTCCTTTTCTGGTGATGCCTACTTTTCTTTCATATGTGGGCTGTTTCTTAGTCTCCTCATGGTCTCTCTTTTCAGGATGTCTGGTTATGTAGTTCTCTCTCTCTTTATCCCAGGTGAAATCTGACCCTTCCGGGTAGAGTGTAGACCTCTTCTGAAACCATGTGTTTGTGCCAATTTGGGGACCACTGTTCTGGGGCTCGCAGTTGTTCATTGGTTGCTGCAGTTGTAACTTTCCAAGCTTCAGATAAGATCCACTTTCCCCTTCAAGATGATGCAGTCTCTGCATCTGAGCCTGTCACTCTGAGAGGGAACCCAGCTGCAATGGGGGCTGCCTGGTCAGGGGCACCCTGTCCAGCAGTCCCCCACCTTCTCCTGGAGTTTAGCTGTCTCTTAACTGGCCAACAAATACTCCCCGTGTGACCCTCAGCTGTTCTTTCTTTCTGCTCCCGGATAAGGCTCCAGACCTATCTGTCTATTCCATCGCCATCTCTACTCTCCTAGATAGGATTGAATTTTGATTGGTTGAATGGCCAACCAGATGACAAGACACTTACCATATTAGGCTTTTATTAAATATCTTATTTTTGTCTCTTATTATAGTTTTCATTTGAAGGTGATTTTGTCTGATAAAAGTATTGTCGTTACCCATCTTTCTTTTGCTTTATTTGCATGAAATATCTTTTTCTCTCTTTACTTTTAGTCTGTATATGTCTTCTTATTATAAGTGTTCTCTTTTAGGCAGCATATATTTTTTTGTGCCTGTTTATAAACTTGTTTACTGGAGTAATTATTTTATTTTTTAATTATATGGAATGGTAAGATCTATGAATCAATTATCAGGAACTATACATAATTTTTTATAAAACAATTAAGAGAAGATGGTAATACTTTTTAAAAATGTTTTTAAAGTTCAATAAGATAATATTTATTAACTGCTTTTGTATATTGTGAAGCAGTATGTGAATGGTAGGTTTCATCATTTAGTTCTGTCCTAGTTATTTAAATAAGCCATGTGAAAAATAGTGGTAATATATTACTTAACATACAGGATAACTTTTGTGTCAAATAGGCCCAAAATGTATAATTTCTCACACTCAATAAAAATTGGTTTCCTCATACAACTAGTCCCAGAAAATTTAGGGTTATTGTTTGCATTAGGAATCCTGTTTTACAAGGTCATTCATATATCCTGGCGTGTGCTTTGCTATTTTACAGCTCAGCAAAACTTCCTTGCCCGTGCTGGGAATAGATATGCAGCTACCAGAAAAGAACATGGAAGACCAAACATGAGCCATTTATTTATTTATATATATATTTATTTATTTATATATTTATTTTAATTTAGAAGGCATTGGGAGCTAGGTGGAGCCTCTTTCTTGAAGAGACACAACAAGCATGATCCATTTTCTTTGCCAAGTCTGGATGTGATCTATGTTATTTTATCTTACTTTATCACTTCAATTGCAGGAGGGACTTAGAAATGTAGGCCAGTGATGTGACAAAGAAGAGAGGAAAATTTGTTTGGTGAGCATTTAGAAAACTTTGCTACAGTTGAGTAAGGATATAACCAGCTAATCTGTGTATGAAATAAATGCAATTATACAAAATTCAGACCTGAGATAAAAATCTAGAAATTTACATTTATGTAACAGGAAAGTATCTTTCCAAGATTAATAAATGAAATCATACTCCTTTACATTTTATATTTATTTCAGATATGCAGTATTGTGGTTAGAAAATTATATATATATATAAAAAACTAGAGTCCCCAGTCCACGAATTCATGCACATATGGGGTCCAGCCAGCCTGGCCTCAATTGGGGCAGATTGGGTCCAGGCTTGTCAGGAGGAGGAGATGGCAGGCGATTGGCTGGCTAGCCCTGCCTCCTAATGGGGTGGGGAGGCTGATTGGGGGTGGGACCAGCCACGGGTACAGGCCACAAGTGATTGGTTGGCTGGCTGGCCCTGCCCCCTGAACAGGGTGGCGGGGGCTATCTGGCGTGGGGCCTGGTGGGGGAAGGACGTCAGGCCGATCAGGGTGGTAGGGACTCATTGTGGGCAGGGCTGGTGGGGGGAGGGGTTTCGGGAGGTTGGCTGGCGGGCCCAACCCCTTATTTGGGTGGAGAGGCAATTAGGGGCGAGGCTGGCTGGGAGGAGGAGCCATGTGAGGTTGGTGGGCCAGCCTCACCCTGGATGAAGCTGGCTCTCTGGCCACAGTGGGCATCATAGTGACCCGTTGTTTTGGTCGTTATGGCGTTCTGGTCTCTGGGTTTTTATGTATGTAGATATGTCCTCCTTTTTCCCCCCATTAGTCCCCTCCAACCCACCTTTCCCCTGGCCCATGGCCTTCAGCACCCTGTTGTCTGTGTCCACGTGTTATGCATATATGCATACAAGATCTTTGGATTACCTCCCACCCACCTACCCTCCTCACCTTCTCTCTGAGATTCTGCACTCTGTTCCATGCTGCCATATCTCTGGATCCACTCCATTCATCAGTTTATTTTGTTACTTAGATTTCATATATGAGTGCAATCATATGATACTTGTCATTCTTTTACTGACTTATTTCACTCAGCATGATACTCTCCAGGTCCTTCCATGCTATCTCAAAGGCTAAGAGATTCTTCTTTTTTACTCTGCATAATATTACATGGCATAAATATACCACGGCTTTTTTATCCACTCATCTACTGATGGGCACTTAGGGTGTTTCCAGATCTTAGCTATTGTAAATTGTGCTGCTATGAACATAAGAGTTCATGCATTCTTTCTGATTGGTGTTTTGAGTTCTTAGGATATATTCCTAGAACTGGGATCCCTGTGTCAAATGGCAGTTCCATATTTATTTTTTGAGGAAACTCATACTGTTTTCCATATGGTTGCATCAGTCTGCATTCTTACCAATAGTGTACTAGGGTTCCCTTTTCTCCACATCCTCCTCAGCACTTTTTATTTGTTGATTTATTGATGGTAGCCATTCTGACAGGTGTGATACTTCATAGTAATTTTGATTTATGCCTCTTGGTGATTAGTGACTTTGAGCATTTTTTCATATGGCTCTTGGCCATTTGTACGTCCTCTTTGGAGAAGTGTCTATATAGTAGACAATTATATTTAAAATCACTCTTGAGGTCACTAGTTTCCCGATATTTTTGATCACACATCAAATAAGCTTATATTGATCATTCATTATCAACATAATTTAAAAACTTGTAAATTAAAAAAAGTACTACTATATTGGTATGCTATTGTCATTTGAAGTCTAAATGCTTCAAAAGAATATTAAAGAGATTATATTATTGTGTAATAGATGTTTAAAATAATTTTTACTGTAGTATAAATCACTCTTTTGCTTTCATTTAGAAGCATAATATTGGGCATAATATTGGTAGTAGCTCTCTTTTACAATGTCTTTTTAATGATAAATATGAGGATTTTTTTTTTTACCTTTTGATACCTTCTTTTGATTTCTGAAAATAAATTCTATTTCAGGGTTTAAATACATTACATTAAAACTGAAGGAAAAAACACCCCAAAATAAGTTTTTGGTTCACATGGCATTGGGCAACTATTACTAGTAAGTTGCAAGCTCTACAGCCTGCTATATGACTAACACATAGTTTAAAATTTGTCTCCTTGCCCAAAGTTTAATTCTAATAGAAGACTGGCCTCACATTATTGTGTTTGGACATCAATTAGCTAGGATATGACTGGTTAAAAAGACCTTGGTGGCAAGCTAGATGTTCAGTTACCTTTACTGATGCAAATAAGGGTGATGATCTGCTTCCTGCTAGCACTGAGGACTGTATCCATATAAGAAAGACGAAAGGCAGCTGTTTTAAAATCCACCTATCTGTTCAAGTTAGAAATCTTTGACTACCAAAGGCTCCCTCTAAATTAGGGGTGTCGAACTCAATCAGAGAAGGGGCCAAAATCTAAAATCCAGCCTAAATCGCGGGCCGAATGGTTTACTGAACAGTCATAAACTGTCATTGTGATGGAAACGCAGCGGAGTGCAGTGATGACAGCGCGGTGCGGGCCACATTGCAAGGCCTGGCAGGACGGATTTGGCCCGCGGGCCTTGTGTTTGACACATGTGCTACAAATGCCCTTGCTGTCTTACCAATTTCAGCTTCACTGAGGGCTTTCTCTGGCCAGAAGCTCCTTCCTCTGGCCAGGTACAGCCATTGTGATCTTGGGGCTTTGGGTTTGGCTAAAACATCATTTTATTTCTTTGTTTCAGGCTGGACACTACCAGGTGCATTCTGCTTGACCTCTGTTTAAATGAGAAATTTCAAGACTAAACAGCACAGCTCTTTTCAGTTATCAAATGAAGATGTTATTCTAGTTCAAATGAAAAGCAGACCTTAATGGTTACATAATACAAACTGTGAGGTTTTTAAACTTGTGACAAGGGACAGAGGGAAACGCTACTCATTGCAAGGAAATCCTCACTTAAGCTTCAGCAAGTCAAAAGCAGTTAAAACCCACAAACATGCAACTGGTCGTCCTTAGCCAGTTCAATCTCTATAAGGAACTGGCATATGTTCTTATACTGGTCACCCTGTAGCTGAATCATTCTCCATATTCTAAATGCTCAATTACAGTACCATTATAGACAAATTTCTTGTTAAACATCTTCACGAGTTTCTTTTTATCATATTATCAGTGAACCCTTGGACAGTCCTAAAGGTTTTTCTGCAAATTTTTTTGTTGAATTTTTATATGGATAGTCCTCAGTGCTAGCAGGAAGTACATCATCACCCTTACTTGAATCTGCAAAGGGATGAAAAGAGTGGAGTTTCTGGATAGTGGACATATACATTCCTTTTTCTCTGTGGTAACTGCCTGGGGAAGTTAAGAGAGAGAAAGAGAAAGAGAGAGAGAGAGAGAGAGAGAGAGAGAGAGAGAGAGAGAGAGAGAGAGAGTAATGGAGCATAAAGAAATGAGGAGGCTCAAAGGGGAGGTTGCTGAGGCCTGGCAGGGGCTCACCGAGCACTTTTTAATACCTTAGTATTGCAAATTGATATATTATAAAACTGTTTTGAATGGTATTTTAAAAGAGATTTAATGTAACATATTATGTTCATATTTGTTGTATTTGAATTTAGTATTATCTTTATCACAGATCTCAAGGGTCTACAATGGAAGCTCGGTTGATAACAGGTAACATTTTTAAAATGTATCTTTTTTCTAATTCTTTTCAGCTTACATGACTAATTGGTAAAATATAGTCACTCTAAATTTAGTATCATAAACATTTTTATTCATATCTTTTCTTACAATATTGTACTCTTTGATTGATGGTGTTAAATGCTGTAAAAATAAAAACAAATTTTAGTGAAAACTTTAAATTTAAGGATCAGAGCTAATGTACAACCCCCTTCCCCCATGTGAAAACAGTAATTAAATTTGTAGACAGTGAGAAACTGACCCTTATTCTGAAGTAATCATCATCCTTCAGAGGTATGACCTCAATATATAACAATGTATTGCTAAATCATTTCATATATGTTTATATATGTATATACACATAATCATATACACTATGTACACACACATATATATGCATGAACATAACTGCATTAATTGATTCATCCAGTTAAATCCTATAATTTTCACTAGTGAGTCTGTTTAACACATTGTGATTAAAAAGACTCACAACCTGAGTAAAATAAATTAATGCATCAGCAAACTGTCAGTAAGAGTTAGGTTCCTATCCAGTGAGAATAAAGCATGTTATTGTTTCCTTTTAGTCACTGACTTGAATTATTGAGAATTCAAATTCAGTGTATATGAAGCACTTGTTACTTAACTATGCATAGCTTTATATGTAAAAATTTGGCTTTGATTGCCATACAGAAAAGATAGAAGAATTACCTAGAAGTATGTATTTATCTTATTCTTTACTATTTTTTAAATGTATCTGTAGGGATTTTCTTAGATCTTTTAAAATTTTATTGAATTTATTGGAGTGACCCTGGTTAACAAAATTATAAAGATTTCAGGTGCATAATTCTACAGCACATCATCTGTATTGTGTGTTCACCATCCCAAGTAAAGTCTCCATCCATCACCATTTATATTCTCTATTCCCTATTCCACCTGCCCCAGCACCCCCTGTGACCTGGTAATAATGATACTGTTTTCCATATTCATTATTTTTAATATTTCTAAATTATAGATCTAGGTGAATTAATAAGAATTAGGAAATAAATGTAATAACTAATACCCAGAGGTTTATAAAAAATCCATTTTAAATGTCTTTTGATTATAATTTTTAAAGT